AGGCAGTTCACAGGAAAGGGAACAACAGATGACCCTTAATCGTAAGGAAAAATACACAACATCCTTTCTCTCACATATAATGAGAGAAATATGAAGTAAAACTACCCTGAGAAATTATTTCTCGCCTAACACATTGGCCCAAAATCCAAATCATGGCAAACGATGCTGGCAGGGTAGTGAGGAGAGGGCTGGTCTCACGTGTTGCTGGTGGGACGGCAAACCTGCCGTGTCATCCAATGTTACGGTGGGTATGCCCTGTGGCCTAGCAATGACATTTCTGGGAATTTAGCCCAGATCAGTTTGCGCATATGTGAAATGACATATATATGAAATCACTCATCTAGCATTCTTCATAGTAGGCAAACACAGAAACAGCATAAACATCCATCAGTAGAAGACTGATAGCCTACATGATGATACATGTGTGCATACAACACAACACCAGAGAGCTGTAAAGAAGAATGAGAGCTTTGTTGTCCTATTATAGAAAGAGCTAACAGATGCATCATAAAAAAGGAAAATGCAAGGTTCCAAACAGTATGCATAATGCTATCTGCTAATTAAAAAAAAGAAAGAAAGAAAAAAACCCAGAGAACAACAATACTCATATTCCTGTTTGCTCATATACGAGCAAAGAAATTCAAGAAAGTTATGCAAGGGGCACCTGGCTGGCTCAGTCGGACAAGTGTGCGACTTTTGATCTTGGGATTGAGTTCAAGCCCCATGTTGGTTGCAAAGATTACTTAAATAATAAATAAATAAATAAATAAATAAATAATCCATGGAGAAACAGCCAGAGCCTACAGACTTCAAGCTTTTTCACCCCTAATAATCCATTCCTGTGATTAAGCACTGGAATCACAGTTGGTTAGAACACTGGCAGCTAAATAGCCCAGTGATCATGTCCTTTACCCCCTCCCCACCAGGGATTACCCAAAGGCAAGGACTGGTTTCCCAGCCTCAAGGAGGACCAGCGTCTATGGTGCCATTTACCCTCCAAGTCCCCATGAGATCAGGCTGAGGCTAGACTCCAGCTGAGCCCACATCTTTGCCTGGTTTCTTCCTGTTGTAACTGGTTTCGATTTGGTCCCTACTGGCTTCTCCTGAGAACCTCCCCCAAGAAATCACTCAGCGCAGAATCCCTGTCTCAGGCTCTGCTCCTAGAAACTCAACCTAAGACATCAACCAAATAAACCACATTAACTGATAACAGATCCCTTCCTCCAAAATGCACCACCAGTCAGCATTTCTGACCAGCACATGCATAATTTTCCACACTGTGCTGGCCTAATACCAACCAAAAGCAAAGATACTGCTGGTGGGACTTCATACAAGTTAATACACAGTTTCTAAGGAGGGATATAAAATGTTGACTGTATTTTTATCCCGACCACCCATGGACCTAAGGTCCTGGGAACCCCCAGCCTGAGAACTCGTTCTGGCTAAATCATGATTCCAGACATATTAGCTGGATTTCCTGACCACTGGCTGAGAGCAGGAAAGGCAAACAGCTGGCTTTGCCTGCCGTCGCAGACTTCGAGATGTCCACCCCAATTCATTCCCTGGTCCTGGCACACAAGAGCGTAATCCCTGAGAAGGCTGCATTTCCCCCCCTTAGGTAATACAGCAAAATCCTCACCGTGGAATGGAAATGGAAGGGCTATATGCCGTGTCTGGGCCAGCAGCCTCGGATAGTGGGTGTGACCCTTTCACACCTACACCAGACCCATGCCACATCCCATACACCCCACTCAGGTCTCAGCATTCAGCTCTATGCACTGAAGACTACTTACAGTCAATCCCCGTGACTCTGCAGAGCTTTTCCAGTCATGTGAAGCATGCTTGACCAGGGCAAGTTGGAAGGGCCCGGAAGCGCCCTCAACTAAATCCCAAAGGACGGGAAGGTAGTGGACAGATGGTTTCCTATGCTCTCAAGTGGGGTAACGCCAAGGCATGTCTAACTGTTTCCCAAAAATCCCCAGTAGGGTCAAGCTCCAGTTGCCACAGTAGTAACTTCCTTGATTATATTCCCCTTATCAGCTATCTGCTCTTTCTCATCATGCTTCCCTACTCCCACTACAGATGCGTCCTGGGATTGCCTCCTAAGCAGTTGCCTTGAACTTGAAACCTTGCCTCAGAATCTGTGGCGAAATCCAAACCAAAAGGATTCTACCAGCAGATCTACACAGAGATCCAGTTTCAACCATGCATATGTTAAAAGCACCCTGGGGCATGGTAGAGCAATGAAGGAAAGAAGTCCAGGTCTCTGAGTGATGGCATGAGGAGAGCCACCGCCAATCCAGAACTGCTAGGTGAGAAACAATCTTCTCTCTTCTTTAAGCCACAGAATTGGTGGGGAATCTTTGTTACGGTAGCTGTGGCTTGTGCTAGTTAGGAAACCTGCCCAACATCCATTTCCTCTCTGGTCATGGCACGGCTTTTCTGCTCAGGAACCACTTTCCTACTCCCCTCCCAGATATAGCTGACCTGCTCATGCCACCCCGGCTTCAGGGGAGGCAGGAACATATGGCTTAGGGGAGGACCCAAGAGCCAAATCAGGCCAATCAGAGACAAGAAGCATCAGCCAAGATCTTTGGCTGAAAGACAAACCCTTCTTCTGCTGAGCTACTGTCCAATAGGACAGAAGTCCAGAGCAATGAACCTGCACTTGAGCCTGTCTGGGGAAGAAGTCACCTGTGGGAAAACTAGATATATAAGACAGAGAGAAAGATGAGTGATAACATTATTTAGGCACCTAGATCCAGCTATCCGTGAAGCTGGACAACCCTAGATTTGTCAGCCAATACATCCGCAACCAAGAATTCTATTTAATAAAAATCTGCCCCAGGGTGCCTGGCTGGCTCAATCAGTGGAGCATAAGCCTCTTGATCCCAGGATCATGAGTTCAAGCCCCATTTTGGGCATAGAGCTTACTTTAAAGAAAAAAAAAAGTCTCAAAAATAAATAAATAAAAAATCTATCCCTAAAGAGAATACCATGTCCGTTAGTTCATAACTCTCTGTGCAAAATAGGCTACGGGCCAGCTGCTAGTCTTTTAGATAATTCCCTTATAGGAATACTCATTTTTGTTGTCACAATTATCCAGATAACTGAGGAAAGCAAATCAAATGCTTTCTAGACTCTCTCATCTGCATCAAGTGCTAGGAGACACAACGTGATGTCAGCAATTGGCCCGCTGCTGCCAGGGCCAAGCCCTCCGTGCCAGCTGTCCCAGGAGGCTTCACCAAGTAGCCACCATGCCATCCCACTCTGCTGCTATGGGTCCCAAGTCCATCCTCAGCCACTGCAGATTCTTGAATGTGGCCTTAGCCCAAGCACCTGGACCTTTACTCGAGGCAGAGCAGGACTGTGTCGACCCTTCAGGATGGCTCTGTGCCACTGAGCATTGCCATTCAGAAAAACCCCAAAGGGGTGAGGACTGAGGATCCCAAAGCCTGCCCTAGTCTCGTGTCTGCCTCTTGTGTAGTCCAAATTGAACCTGGGGAGTTTTCTTTCCTTTCTTAAGGATGAGGAGAGGGAAAAGGGATTTTGACCAGATTTAGCTGGCCCTCTCTTCTGGCCACCAATGGATGGCCCCAGCGGCTGCCTCATCTGCTCCTGGGCACTGGGATGCTGACCCCCCCAGGTGTGCTCCGAGAATTGTTCCAGAGAACACTATGCAGACAGCAGTGCCCAGCTGGGTGCCCAACATCATAGGTGCTCAACAGAAGGGTTTATTTCCTCCTTCAGAAAGAAAAAGCTGACTTGCAAGAGAAATGCTAACTCAAGTTATAGGACATGCCACTGAAATTGTCCAGGTCTTGGCAGAATGCCTGGCCCACGGTGTGGGAAAGGAGGGGGCAATGAGAAACCAGGAGAGAGGTGGAAGCAAGCAGAAGAAGGAAAGGAACAGAGGAGGAGGAGAGAGGAAATTGGAAATGGCCCCATCACCCACATGTTCCCCAGACCAAGAAGCAGCCTGGTCCTAACGCATGATTTCCTTCCACTTCCAGGGTGAAGAGGAGGCTGGGGACCTCAGACCCAGGGCACCAGAGGAAAGCAGCCGAAGGGCCATAGGGCGGGACAGATGAGCACTCAGTTTGGGCAGCAACCTGGGACTGGGGAAACTCTCTCTCTCAGCCACCATGATTCCCTGACGGTTTGGGCCCTTCCTGCTATCCCCACCCCCCAATCACAGAAGGACCCTGGAAACCACCTCTCATCCCCATAGGCTGCTGCTTCTCTTTTACCCTATCTTGGGCTCAGGTCTGCTTTATCGTTAACCTCCTGGGCCTCTGGGGCCAGGCCTCCCAGGTGAGGAGATGCAGGTGGCCAAAGGTCACAGCACTCAGCAGTCACATGACCCAAAGGAGACTGCTGTCCCTCCCACAAGAGCCCAGTGTGCACCAGGCCGGCAAGCATTCCTCACGCTCCAGCGTTTGCCACTTCTCCACCACTGCCAGACTCAACAGAGGGACAAGTACTTGCAGCCAGCAAGTCCCAGCCCCAAAAACCCAGAAGCATCTCCACAGTAACCCCAGGATCGCAAAAAGTGACAAAAGTGTTGGTGAGTCACCTTCCCTGTCCACCCCAGGCATCTCTGCCCATCAGCCTTGAGGCACCTGTTCATCTGCTCTGCTACCCAGGGCTCAAGATTTGCTTCTTTGAACTCACCCGCCAATACACAAGCATCCACCCCAAACAACCTCAAGCGAATGTCCCAAGAAGCCCTAAACAGGGAGCTAGCCCTCAGTGCTCTGTTTTGTTTTTATAAGGGAAGTTCCATGAGAACATTTCATTTATTAAAATAATTCCTTTAAACTCTTTCAGAATAATAAAATTCATTTTCCTTACTTGAGTAGCACTGCAAGTAGAAGTACTTTTATTTCAAGGCACCATAAATGATAGTCTCTCTAAGAACACCTCTGGCTCCACATATGAAAATACTTAAAAAAAAAAAAAAAAAAAAGAAAAGAAAAAAGGAAAACACCTCACAGCAATCATGATCAACACAAACTTTTGTTAATGTGACTGTTCAACAGGATGTGGGTTACGGGGGGCCTGGCTCCTCTATGATCATTGACAACCCTTATTAGAACAGATCCCCCAGTTCAGGCCCTGGAAGGACAGGGGAATGAACGAAACCCACGTAAGGTGGGGGACCTTCCAAACCCCAAATTCCTATCAACGTGCCAGCTCTGGAGTTTCTCCCAGCTCCTCCTCCTCTTCACTTCTCCTCCTCGCTCAGGTTGGCATTCCCCTGGCGTGTGGACATCAGCTTGGTTTGCAAAAGAGCCGCTAGTTTTTTGGACGTCTTTTTGAGAAAGGCGCTGCCCGGGTGGGCACTGTTCACGTGCAGGTACAGGTCCTCCTGGGTGGGCCCCGTGTAGCCACAATCCTCACAGACATAAAGCTTGTCCCGACGTTGTTTGTAGGCGTACTGCTGCTGCACCCCGTGGATCTTCTTCAGATGCGACTCCAAGGAGCAGCGCTGGGTGAAGGCTTTGTTGCAGATGTCACATTTGTAGGGGCGAATGCCTGCAAAGTTGATGGGCAGACACATCACCAGTTGGTCACCGCCAAGCCAGAGCCTCCCAACCATGAAGCCATTTAAAATCATGATGCACAACCCAATAGCAGAAAAACAAATGGCCTGATTCAAAACCGGGCAGAGGAACTAAACGGACCCTCTTTCAAAGAAGGCAGGCATAGAGCCAACAGGTACATGACAAGGTGCTCAACACCGTTGATCATCAGGAGAATGTGAGTCACAACTGCCATGAAATATCACCTCGCACCTGTTAGAATGATTATCATCAAAGACAAAAGATAGCAAGGGTCCTTGAGGATGTGGGGGAAAGGGAACCCTTGTACACTGGTGGTGGAAATATAAACTGGCACAGCCATTATGGAAATCAGTATGGAGTTTTCCCAAAAAATTAAGAATAGCACTACCAGGGACGCCTCGGTTGCTCAATGGTTGAGCGTCTGTCTTTGGCTCAGGTCGTGATCCTGGAGTCCCGAGATCGAGTCTCACATCCAGCTCCCCGCAGGGAGCCTGCTTCTCCCTCTGCCTAAGTTTCTGCCTCTCTCTCTCTCTGTCTCTCATGAATAAATAAATAAAATCTAAAAAAAAAAAAAAAAAAAAAAAAGGAAGAGCACTACCATATGATCAGAAATCCCACGTCTAGGATATAGATCCAAAGAAAAGGAAAACAGGATCTCAAAGAGACATCTGCACACCTGTGTTCACTGCAGCATTATTCACAACAGCCAAGACATGCACATAATCTAAGTGTCCATCAACAAATGAATGGATAAAGAAGATGTGGTGTATTTATACAACGGAATATTATTCTGCCATGAGAAAGGAAATCCTGCTATTTACAACATCGTGGATGAACAGTGAGGGCATTATATGAAATAAACCTACAGAGAATGATAAATACAGCATGGTACTACTTGTACATGGAAAAGTCAAACCTGTGGAACAGAGTGGATAAACGGTTGTAGGAGGGGTAGGAAAAATAGGGAGGAAAAAAAATCCGCATGACCAGGGATTTGACGTGAGGAAAATGATTAAGACAGGAAACAAGGTGTGTCTACAAAGGTTCACAACATCCCCATGAGCAAACATAAAAAGGGATGCCAACCTCGCAAAGAAACACCACCTGGCTTTGGGAGGAAGGGTTTTGGTCTTCCCACTTGTATGCCTTAATGTTTTGGTTTTATAATGGGCAAAGCAAAACTTGTTTTTAGTTTAGTTGTGGTTTTCCGGAAACAGACCCTCTGACAAAGATTCCAGCAGCGCCTATAAGTGAGCGAAGACATGGGGGCTGGGAGAGGAAGGAGTCCTATGAGGTATGGACAGCAAGGCGGTCACTGCTATGGGCAACCAGAGTCCAGTTCCCCTGGACAAGTTAAGACATTGACCTCTGAGTCATCCTGCCCCTTACAGCTAGGGTCCCCCCCACCCCCAGCAGCACTGTCAGGGGCCGCCCCTGGGTGGTGCTGATTCTCCCTCCCCGGCTTGTGCCAGCAAGAACACTGTCAGGCAGAGTTGCAGGTGTGGGCAGTCACAACGTCAATGGGTGTGCCCAGAAACGGCAGGAGCCGGGGGCGTGGGCTGGACATGGGTGGCATCTGCCACAGTTATGAAAGCATTTCCAAACGAGATCTCATGCTGGCCTCAGCATCCGGCTAATATCCGTGGGGATTGCCTTCTAGATGGATAGTTCCCATGTGCCATCCACACCAGGGAGCTCAGCCTCATGAAAGCACAGACCTTCCTATTTCACGAAGGGCACTCATTCTGACTCTGAGGTTAGAGTGTCACATAAACTGATGTGTGTAAGGCCTAACGTAGGCTGTAAGGGATGAGTGTCATGCCAGGGGTACCAGGAACAGATGGGGGGCAGCCACCACCATCAGACCATCTTAGAGCCCAGAGGCCGGCAGAGTCATCCCGCACAGGAATCGCCAAAGCAAAATTTAAGGACAGGCTAAAAACTCATCAATCAAGTTAGATAATGTTTCAAAAATTGAAACACACTGAAAAAAAAAAAATCCCTAAGAACAAGTTATCAAAATCTTAAACAAGGACAAGACCCGACAATATCCTCCTGGAGCTTTCAACGAAAGGAAAGACGTGCACTCCAGGGAGATTTTACGTGTATTTTTTAAGTGGTTATTCTTTTTCCCCATCCTGTTCTGATTGTTGAAATAAATATACTGAAAAATTGAAAAGGAGCTGTATTAAAACTCCCATTTAAAAATGTTTAAATATTTTTGTACACAAACATAGGATTTATCATGCTTTTACTATCCTGGCTTTAGTGGAAGCAAACTTATCCTAAGATATTTTCAAAATCTACTTTTTTAGCTCCACAATAATCTGGAGGATTTTTCCATGTTGGTGCTTACAGCTGGGTTTCATTCCTTTTCAACAGCACCAGGGTGTTTTGTTGTACTGCTATACCCAAATGCCATCTTTCACAAGCCAGAGATAGACCGACTGCCTTGTACAACCGGGTCCTAACATGTGCTCCTCAGACGGATAATCGAACTGCACCACTTGGGAGCTTGTAGTGAATGCAGAGTCCCAGGTCCCACCCCAGCCCTAATTGGACGTGGTGCTGTGGTCCTCCAACCCAGGGTGGGGGGGGATAGGGGGGCAGGGTGAGTGAGGGTTTGCCAAAACACAGATTCCTGGCCCCAGCCCTGGTGGTTCTCATTCTGGGATGGATAGGGCTGGGACTCCCAGGTTTCTAGCGCATTCCCAGGTGATGCAGAGGCTTGCTTGTCCCGGGACCTCTTTGAGAGTCACAGGTCTAAAGACACACCAAATTAGGCATGACCGATACCGAACAGGAAGAAAACAGAACATTTGAATACACCAATTACCAGCAAGGAGATTGAATCAATAAACAAAAAACTCCCAACAAACACATGTCTGGGACCAGAGGGCTTCACAGGCAAACTCTACCAAGTGAGGCATGAAGACAGCACTTCGGGGGGTCTGCAAGCAGTCCTGGTTCCAATATTTTCTCTCCAAGGTTAAAAGTCCTCACTTCCTTAATGGTGGCTCACGGAATTGGGCAAGAGAGCCCCTCCTGTTCACGAAGTACACAGATGATAAAGGAAGTTGAAATGAAAAAATATCCACTCCCCGGCCCCCATCCAACAAACTGAACAAACCAAATTGCTTTCATTTTTCATCCAGTCCACATCCAGAAGTACACACATGAAACATATCCTGTAACATTCAGGTAAAAAGTGTGTTGGATCAATGAAATTCTACTCAAGCAGAATGCAGGTCTATATTATGTTCCACACATTCTAGAAAAACTGCCAGAACGTAAGAAATTCTTTTACAAGCCTCGGCATTCAGCACATAATAGGTGCTCAGTAAATAATTTTTAATGAAATAATTTTAAATGAAGGAATGAATGAACGAACGCCTACTGGCCCTGGCCCGGAGAAAAAGATTTAAGAAACAAATGTAAGGAAGAGGGCTGCTTTGGGTTTCATGCTCACGCCTGTTAGAGGGCTTTGTATCTCTTTAGGCCTTCTGTGCCATGCCAGCAGCGGGCTCCCCCAATCTCTGGCAGATCAAGCAACAAACCTGATTTCAAACCCACAGCTCATCACAACAGAAATTCACCCAGAGACCAGTTACTCCTTTCAGCAGTTATCGGAAATAACCCACTACTGTCTTAAAACATCAAACTAGGGGGGATCCCTGGGTGGCTCAGCAGTTTAGCACCTGCCTTTGGCCCAGGGCATGATCCTGGAGTCCTGGGATCGAGTCTGGCGTTGGGCTCCTGGCATGGAGCCTGCTTCTCCCTCTGCCTATGTCACTGCCTCTCTCTCTCTCTATCATGAATAAATAACTAACTAACTAACTAACTAAATAAATAAATAAAATCTTTTTTAAAAAAATAGATCTTAAAAAAAAAAAAACATCAAACTAGGGACGCCTGGGTGGCTCAGTGGTTGAGCGTCTGCCTTGGGCTCAGGTCGTGATCCCAGGGTCCTCGCATCAAGCTTCCTGCAGGGAGCCTGCTTCTCCTTCTGCCTGTGTCTCTGCCTCTCTGTGTGTGTCTCTCATGAGTAAATAAATAAAATCTTTAAGGGATCCCTGGGTGGCGCAGCGGTTTGGCGCCTGCCTTTGGCCCGGGGCGCGATCCTGGAGACCCGGGATCGAATCCCACGTCAGGCTCCCGGTGCATGGAGCCTGCTTCTCCCTCTGCCTGTGTCTCTGCCTCTCTCTCTCTCTCTGTATGACTATCGTAAATAAAAATAAAAAAAATAAAAAAAAATAAAATAAAATCTTTAAAAACAAAACAAAAAAACCCATCAAACTAAACATGTGGCGAGAGTGGCACATTTACACACCCGCCCCCCCCCAACCGCCGCAAACTCCCAGGCCCCAGGGAAGATGAGGCTTCCAGTCCTGCTCTAGGAGACCCTACCCCCTTGGGGACACAAAAAGGTGATGGGAAGTGACTGTGGACCAGGACTCTCCTGGATCCCTGCCCCCTGGCAGAAGGGAGCATGCCAGGAGCACACCTGCTTCTCCTGCATCAACAGGTCAGCTGAGCACCTTCCACAGGCAGAACACCCAGCAAGGCCCAGACAGCAAAGGCTAGAGATTCCAGAGCCTTGCATCGTCCAGACAATAGCTTGAGGATGACTGCTGCAGGATGGCTTTTCTCAGGGAGGGTGGGATGTGAGCCTGGCTGGTTGGATAGGGGACTTGCAGACACCAAGATGTATGGAAGAGAGCAGGCACCAAAAGTTCCAATTGGGGCAATTCTGGCTTTGGCACACCTGCTTCACCTCCCCTCTCTGGAAATACTACATTCATCCCTTGCTCACTGGTGCAGACGCTGTCATGCAGCAGCCTCCAGGGTGATCCTTTCTGGGCTTGAAAACAAACCCCTTCCTCCTGCAGCACCCATCCCCCCATGAACTCGGGGGTGGGTGGAAGACAAAGGTGGCCAGAGAGAATGCCTGGGCAAAGAGGACAGATGCCA